CTGTTTTACTTGTGTAATCCCCGTAGCGCTTGTTCATGTGACGTCACAGCGTCTTATAATTTATTAAGTTTGGTACCCTTGCTCTAACGTCGCAGTGTTTTATAATTTATTAAATTTGGCACCCTTGTTCTGACGTCACAACGTTTTATAACTTGTAAGTTTTCGAGCGGTGGATTGCATCATGCAATTTGCATGACGCTGCAGAATTTCAATTTTTCATGCGAAATTCGATCGAGATAAATTGTCTTCTCTCTGTTATTCCTGCCAGTTTTATCCATTGAAGATATCGTCGCAGGCGAAAGAATGTATCCAGGGTGCATCAAGTGCCTAAATACCGTGAGTATACATATTTATTCGTACTATGCGTGTACTATGTGTGTGATACACATTGAAAGCATTGTGCAATTATGTTAAAATATTGCAGTCGGTAGTTCGTGTTTGTTCATTATTGTTTTCGAACGCTTGCTTGTATGACTGCTGTATTGCGTGCCGCGATTAGGAATGTTTTGTAATTCTCAAGAATTTTTAATATGAATTATATTACGTGCATAAATGAGTATATGTAGTATTAAAATAAGTATTGAACAATCATCCAAACTAATTCTGTGGATAATATAATGAGTGGGAATACACACAAAGTGAATATCGGACTTTGAATCGCTTTATAAAACGATTATCAAAGTGTGTCAGCAGATTGTTGTCATTAGATTTGCAATTCTGTACAAGTGTGCCCACATTATCATTATGCGTATTTATTTGAATTACATCAGAAGAATAAAATATCCGAAATTGTTTTATGACTGTTGATTGTCGTCGAAGTTAGAATCTTAAATCGCATACATTAATATCCCTTGTGATTTATTTATTCTTCTAGATTTGTGATCTGTCAATTATCTAATAGTAATAGATTATAATTCTTTATTCAAAATATATCACAAGCGTATAAAAATGCTTGCGATGTTTTTATTTAGAATTTAATTATACAACTTTAAATTTTTAGGTTATATTTGCTATAATTAATAACACCGCTAATTTTTTTCACGATTCAAGTAAAATTGTAACATATTATTTAATATTTTTTTCAGAAGAATTAAGTTGTCACGTAAACATTGCATCGGAGCTGCTGAATCATTATTGTACTGAATTTATTAGCATAGTTATGGGAACAAGTGTGCCAAGGAATAGAGAAGATTCATTGTCAGTCGAGGCTTTACCGTGGACAGCAACTGATAAGTCAATATATTTATACATTAACGCATACGTATTTCATTTACGCGTAATTTACTTTTTTATAATTAATTATAATTATTATCTTTCGTGTTATCATTAGTAAACAAAATTTATTTCTGTAATTTGATTTTATATATATTTTCTCTTTTTATATTTCTTGTAAATGCTTTTAAAGTTATTATTATGAGTAATTTTATTTTCATATATAAAATATATTTTAATATTTTCATCACATTTATAATATCTTGACTTTATATGTCTTTTTTGATATTGCTTATTATTTGTTTTATTTGAAACAATCAGTTATATGTGCCGGTTATTATGAAAGTGCCCTAAGTCATATATTTCTCGTTTCGAGATATTCAAATTTTTGCGTTTGACCATATTAAAAATAGTTTTCCATCATGGTGCAAAATTTATCAAAAATTATAATGTTCTCCTGATGTTAAATTTATGTATGATCATTAAATTTTATGAATGACTTGCACGAAACTGTGTGTTTTTAACCGTTAAATGACTTATGCCACTTTCAAAATAAGCATGCAATTACACCTGATAATAATGAAAATGACAACTTCATTTTATTGCTTATTTCATGGTAACTTTGCAAAAATTCTTCCATAATAATGAAATATAGTTGATATAATATTGCACTAAATAAAAATCTCATTTTTTTTGGTTTTGTGACTTAGGCCACTTTCATAATAATCGGCACATATGATATATTATTATTATTGCTATTATGGTATATGCTATATTATTATTAATTATATGGTATATTATGGTATATATTATATTACAAATGATTATGCTATAACAAGTGGCACATATTTCTTTATAATGAATAATAATTTGAATTCTATATTGTTAAAAGCAAATAGAAATTAATATTCGTATTTATACTGTTTCGGGTGGGATTAAATTCGGAGTTTGTTGAAAATAAATAATATTGATTGATAAATAGCGATTAATGATATTAAAATAAAACAAATTAGACTTACCAGCACGATACGCAGCAGTGGAGTTGTTCACTAATTGATCTGTAACATACAAAGTACGTTCAAATTATAGCAGCGTTTAAAATAATCATTTGAGAAATAATTATCACGCACATTAAACTTTTACTTATTTCTTTTTATGCAAATATTTAATAAAAGAATCATATATTTATATGTGATAACCAAAAATATTAAAAATTACAAATCTTTTACTA